TCATAAATAACATTGACAGCCACTTTGGCACTGAACGACTGCAGATTTTACAAGCAAGAATTGACAGAGACTAATTTGTTTATCTAGTGTTCAGTAATATTTAAGGAAATCATATTAGCATTATGGGAGAAACTTTGTCCTGAGTAACTGGATCCCAGTTAATAGTAACCATCGCCATACAGTTGACCTGCCTGACATCAAAGTGAGAGCTTTTGTTTTTAACAGAGATTAAACAAGAAACCTACCTTGCAACATGACTGAAACGTGGTTATCTCTTACATGACCCAGCTAACAGACTTGTATTGCTTTAACCGCTATAAACAGAAACTTTTTTTTTTTTTTGGTAATCTAAGACTTAGATGACAAAATTTTCAAATGATTGAAGGGCTGGTTATCTGAGAACAGAATGAAAGCATGACTCTCTAGGAACACACCTTAAATAGCGACATCTCATACACTGAAAAATGCTTTCAAATGCTAATAAGCATCCTTTCTTAAGGGCTCCTTATTCTTTTCATATGTGGAATATGGAATTAATCAACATACTAGGAAAACAACAGCTTATTTCCATGATTAACCTTTTTATGATTTTACCAAAATTTCAGAAGTTATACTATCTAAACATTAAAAAAAAAAAAAACAAAGCTTAAAACATCAGTTTAAAAACTGAATGCTGTAGGTTAAATGTATGTAAAGTTTTGATAGGTTAAATCCTTGTATAATGCATTTTGGAGCAAAATGTGCTAGTTCCACTCCTTTTTTTTTTTTTTTTAAATTACATTTATCATCGCCCTGCCCTCAAGAAGCAGAGTACTGGTCCTTGGGCAACATGAGCAGCTTCATCAACAAGAGATTCAACATTCCTATAAAAATGTCCATATGGATTTGGAGTTATCTCCAAGGATGGCGCCTCCACAGCCTCTCAGGCCTGCTCTGCTCCATCACCCTCACAGCGACGACGTTTTTCCTCACGTTCAGGCAGAGCCGCCCACGTTCCAGTTCGTGCCCGTTGCCACTCACCCCATCACCAGGCACCGCTGAAAGAGCCTGTCCCATCCTCTCCACACCTGCCCTTCAGATACTCAAAGGCAGTGATAAAATCACCCTCAGAGGCCACAAGCCTCCAGCTAGACTTTGCAGCACTCAGCGCTGCCATTCAGTCCTCAATCCACCTCAGTGTCCTCTCATCCAGCCACGCTTGCTGGGACGGCCTGTGAGAATGCCATGGGAGATGCCAGGAGGAATTCCCACATGGAGAGAGCAGTAAAGCACTGAACAGGCTGCCCAGGGAAGTGTTCAAGAAAGGGGTCGATAAGACGCTTAGGGATGTGGTTTAGCTGCCTTGTGTTGAGGGCTTACGGCTGGACTCGATGATCTTGAAGGTCTTTTCCAACCATAGTGATTCTGTGATTCTACTGAGAGCCGGACTGAGGGCAAGGCCGGCCACGTGCACTGCTCCCCTCAGCAATCCAGCACGCGTCCCATTACAGGTGGGTTAAGCAAATCTGAGCTGTGGAACGACAGCTTACCCAGCAAGTCTGTGGGCAACGGGCCTCTCTCCATGCCTCCCACTTAGAAAACCGTCCTCTTCATCTTAAGCAACTTTATGCCTCTGCTTATTGGCAACCAAACTGGCATGAAGTCTGCCCACAGAACACAATATGCAAGCTCTAGTCTATGTGTTTTCATTGTATGTGGAAAAAAAAAACAAACCAGAAAATGAAAAAAATAATGAAAGCAAACAAGGTGGAGGTTGCTAGAATCTCTTCTGTGACAATGCAAGACTATGACGAGCAAGATTACCTAAGAGTAATCTCTCCTTGTCTTGGAGTACATCTCTTTTCTACTATTTTACTTGATAAGAATTCTAATATAAGGCAACATAGCAAACAAGATTATTCCAGAGATGTTGACAGCTTAGGGGAGGTCAGGGTGGGAGAAAAAAGGGAGAGTTGAAAAAAGGGAGAGTTGATAAAAGCAAAGAATGAAAATCAGACAATTACTCCAACAGATGAAGCTACATGAGATGTTATCATAATTATCACCACCTTTTTTTTTTTACTGTAATCTTATATAAATCCATTAAATGTTGGGAGTTAAATTACCTCTAGTGCCTTTTTATTTTGGTTATCTTAACAGAAGGGCATGGACATGCAGTGGAAATTTGTCCTCGCCTAAAATTACTCTGCTCGTACACAGTACATTGTAAACATGTAGCCAGGGAATGGCCCTGCCAGATGTATTGAAAGGAGTAACAGGATAAGGAAAGTGATGAAGGAGGGAAGGGCTTCCCACTATCCCTTTTACACATGCTAATAAAATAATCTTTGCTGAAACAGTAAGAATTTATAGTACTTCCAAGGTCCAGAAGGACTAGGCACAGCTGTAGCATACGTATCATCTGCATTAGGAAATACTTGGGGAAGAAAAAACAAGAACGGGCACTGAGAAAGGAGACGACTGACTCCAGCAGATAACCTGATACTGTAAAGCAGATGTGGAACTGGGCAAGAAACCACCACAGAGATACACAGTATATATTATAACATATAATCAGCACCATGATACGCACTAAAGGAGCAAATAATATCACCAGAGGAGGAAGCACTTCTGCAGTAGAATAAACATGACATTGCAGATAAAGAAATAACCAAGGTACACAGGGATCCAAGAGAGTTCCCCTCCCTCACAAAAAAACGCCCCAAAACTAAAGAAACAAAACAGAAAACAAAAACCTGGAACTAGAGATGCCGCCTGCAATTACGGAGTTAATGAACACTAATGAACAAAAAGCCAGAACAACCAAATGGGGAACGCTGATTCTAGTGAAACAATTCTTAGCAGACCTGTGTATTTTATGATTTCTTTACTAATTTTCATTCTTCCTCCTCCTTATGTAGAAAACAAAGGAGAGTTTGCTCTACCTACTTCATATTTCAACTCAGAAACAAATGCAGGCTAAGATTAGAAATTCCTCTGGTTCTAGGGCCCCCCAAAATACCCTACCTATAGAAACCTTGGAGGTCTCCTCATCTACCTCAAGCAGATTGGAGAACTCAAAAGTTTCTGATGTCTCTACAGAACATGTTCATGGAGAAAGAATGAATAGCTGTAATTCAAAACCACTACGAGACAGCAAACCCTAGGGGATTATTTTCTGGGCTATTAGAAGCTTGCCCACTGACATTATATAACAAGATAGAAAAAGAATTTAGAAATTAGCTCCTTAGCACTGGAAACCAGACTTTCAGCTGAAAAGACAATATAAAATCGAGTAATCCAAAGTTACAAACAAATGCAAAGAATTTAGTTCTCTTTCCCATTTCTCAGAAGCCACATTTCAGATGGCAAAGAGCATCAAATAAAACCCTTATTTAATTCTCAAAGCTAGATTTTGAATCTTGTAAGCTCAGGGAGGCAAGTAATCTCAGGAATCTCACTGAAGTGTTTTCAGCTATACAAAAAAAAAAAATAACAAATCAATCTCCTTGAACTGAAATATATTGAAGGAAGCCAAGGACTGTTAAGAAATGGAGGACACTTATTTAGACATCATTTTCAGTGCTCACACACAAAAAAAACAAAGAAGATAAAAGGGCTTAAACTCCTCTAAAAACCACTGCACCAGGAAAAGTTTGGGGATAGTCCAGCCTGACAGCAGCTGTTTTCACTGTCTATATTTCTCCTCAGTTTGTTTACAGAAGACTCGCTCCTCCTACTTTTCCCACACGTAGCCTGTTACAGATTACTCCGGACACCAATAGTCAGGATGAATTCTCTCCCAACACTACCCTACAAATTGCAGTTCCTTAAGCTCAGCTAGTCCCTCAACTAAACTTACACGCTTGCAGCTTTCCGTTTTCACCAACATTTATCCCTGTGGTCAGGGGTAACCCGACTGGGCCAGGAGCTGACAAGCAGCAGCAAATCCTACTGTACTGCAGGGGCCTGCTCGGGCAGCCTTCTCGTGCACAGAAGGCTCTGTGGGCATGGAGCACGCAGCACGTTTGGGAAACGCTGGGGACAGCAGTGAACAAGCAGCCACAGGAGGAAATAGCCTCCTTCCTGCTGGTTTTGCTCTTCCTGCTGCTGGGACTGTCCAAAACAGGGAGGAATTACAGCTCCTTTTTTCTCTATTTCTCTCACCCCTATAATCCATTTCCTTTTCTTGTACTCGAAGCTAAAGGAAGCAAAAAATACTGTTAGAGGGAGTAAGGAGCCAGAGGTCTAAGGCAATTGGGGATCCATTCATAACAGAGAGGAGACCAAGAACTATGAGGTAATTAATAATCGGGGACTTTTACTTTCCTGGTATTTTGCTTCTAGTTCATGAATGTTGATTCGAACAGCATAGGAAAGGGCTGCTATCGGGACAGACAGAAGAATCAATTTCTATTTCATTTTGGGCTTTTTATTTGAAACTAATCAAAAGACCAGAACAACAGCATTTATAAAAGGTACCCAGAATAACAAAGAATCTCCTGTTGATTTCGAGTCACATATTACTCACATACAGAAACTATTCCATTTTGGTAGCTTATAGTCATATGGATCAAAAGGCACCTGCAACGGCCGTGGTTGCAAATGCACTGTAGGAGCTACGCATGCAAAGGAGAAGTTAGACATTTCTGTGGTTGCTCACCAGGGTAATCACTAGAACTGAATATATGCTCCTAGTAACTATACACACACGACTTGCGCACGCATGCAGTTCCAAAAACTTGAAGTGTTGCATTCAGTGTATCTATGTTGATAACGTCCTAGGGAAACACTCGTCCACGAAAAACAATAAAAAGAGTGTTAACTTTTTCGAAGATGTACATTTATTCTCACCTGTCTACGGAACATTAAAAAAATATAACAATCCGGTAATTTTTTTCCAAGCCAATATATCGGCAAAATCTCACCACTGTCATAAGACTTTCCAACTTGAAATGAATGAGAAAGATATTTAAACATAGCCCCTAACACCACCTTTTTAATATATATTTAACAACCTGTGCCTTCATAAAGATCATTAGAGGATAGGTATTTATTTTAAAAAAAAATATGCAAATGTTCAAAATTTTAAAGAGCTGGACTAAATTTCCATTAGCTCATTTTAACTCCACTAGAGATAAGTGAAAAGTATTCAAAACATTGGGATTTTTATTATCCTAAACACTTAGAGCTACAGGATTTGATTATACTTTGGGAGAGTCAGCAGATTCAATCCTATACAAGACATTTTTATTAAGGTACATAAACAACAAAATGGAAAATATGCTTTCGTCTCTCAACACCAGATTTTGACATAAGAAATGATTCTTCGTTAACATCAGAATTCTCCTAGGGCAAAAGCATTTATTATTAAGTATTTCAAAGAATGACAGAAGTAATAAAATATTTAGATATTGCTGTATTCTGGCAGACCACACCGCAGTTGTATTGCCTTCAGCTTCTCTACTTTGATTTTTGCTCGCAACAGTTCCTCTTCCAGCTGCTGCTTTCTTTTCAAACCATCCCTTTTCTCTTGGACATAAAGCCCAATTCTTCTTTGATTTTCTAGTATTATTTGATGCTCTTCTTTCAGCATTTGCAACATTTGTGGGTCGTACCCACACATTGGTCTAAAGCGTTCTCCAACCTCAAGCCTAAAAAGCTCATCTCTTCTTGGAACAGGAGAAGGAGACATCATCACTCTCATGTCAACTGAAGACACTGAGGTTGAAGGAGACCTTTCCATAACATGCACCAATTGGTGATCTTCCTCTTGTCCTAAGTTCTCACTTTGCTGGGAATCTATAACCAAAGAGGGAGGAGGTTTGACATCCTCTTCCAATTGCAACTCCATCATGACTGTCGCAGGAGGGGGATCCAACACTGCCTGTGGTGAACTGGTGCCAGCAACTGTTTCTTTACTGATAACAGCACTAGAACACACAAAATCATATTTAAGTCATCCATGAAAAACCAAAGAGAAAGAGAAAGAGAGAAAAGGGAAAGGGAAAGGGAAAGGGAAAGGGAAAGGGAAAGGGAAAGGGAAAGGGAAAGGGAAAGGGAAAGCATGGTTGTTTCATTTGAAATATTATTCATTGCTCTGTTTATGATTCTAATTCATTACATGAACAATGTCTGTGCTATCTGTACCCCTCTTTCTTTCTACCACAAACACACAGGTGTCTCTCATGGTCAGGTGCCATCATTACTGAAGGGACAGTAGGGCCTATTGGAGAACCACCCTGGCAAGTCCAGATTCTGAAAGAAGGGCTATTAGTGATAAACGAGAGCAGCAGCAGGTGATGCAAATGCTACAGGAAATAGTTTGTACAGTAGAGAGTGTGGGGAGGGGAAAAAAAGGCATCAATTTAGATGTAGTAGACTACAATAGAAACACATCCATCACCCAAACTTATTGCACCTCCTCCTGTTCTAATGTGCTCTCTATGGTAGATTCATACACTTAGATATGTGTGTTTTATGTAAAACAATCACTGAATAAAGTTAGTCTTGGGGCAGAGGCCAGATGATGGCCCTACCAGTAGATGATGGAGTCAAGCTAATTATTGCTCCTTCCTTTGCATCAGGAATCTCAGTATTTTTCTGAGCTTCAAGTGGAGGCATGGAAATGTTTCCATCACAAACAGCCGAGAGTTGTGCACAGCACTTCTCCAACTGTTGAGGGTACAACACCCTCTTGACTCATGCGCTTTTGTGTAAACCCCTGAGTCAGCTGCACCTCAGATCAGGATTTGACATTAGTCTAGCTTTGATGATAATAATGGTTCAAGGTGTCCCTGCTTACTTCTCCACCATCAGTTGTGTTTCAAAAGCACACAGTGCTGCACATCACCCCTTTATTCAGTTTAAGCCACATCAGCTTCTTGATTTGCTTTCCTGAATAGATCCACAACAAAGCTTTCAGTATGGCTTGGGAGGCAGTATTCTGTAACACAGAAATAGGAACACATGGAGCTGGTCCTGCTACCACAGGGAATGCATCATCAGGGCAATGATTCTCTAAAACAGGGGCTGTAACTACTGGACACAGATACGAGACATTCTCCAACTGCGGAAAAACTGACCTGCTCTGTTAAGAGTGGATCCATAATTAATATAATTCACAGAAGAAATTACAGATCCTCCCCAACCCTGAAGGATCTGAGTTGCTATTAAAAGCTGTGAGGATGTGGGGTTTTAAGCTTTTTAAACTCCTTTTAAGCCCTACAATTCACAATTCTAGAAGCTATCTAATTATTAACATACTGCCCTGGTTAATGGAAGAGGTGGGTTCAACTTCCCAGAAGCAAATTAGGATTTTAATTTGCATATCCTGCCTTTTGTGTAAATGAACTTTTGATATCACAGTTAAGGAGTTAAGAGGTGCCCCATGGACTTCGAAACTCTTGCTTTAAAGGAACTAAGTGGCCAAGGCTGCCATTTCTGCAGGACCCTGATCTAGTCCCCTATCCATTAACATTACGGTGCAACTTCTAGAATAAAAGCATGAAAGCTTCTCAGTGCTGGGTCGCAAGGCTTAGTAAGAGGGTGAGAGCAATATACTTTCCATAAATTAATTCTGCCAACCTATTTTAACTAAAGCTTAAAAAAAATCCATCTGAAGCAGATACCTAAAATAGAGCTTTCACTTATCGCAGAAGGAAGCATCAGCTACTCTTAATTCTAACTACTGTTACCTGAGCTGCCTGTAAAGTATCAGTTTTAAGATCTCCCTTTCTTCTCATCCCACAAAGCATCACTTTTTCACCAGCCCCCTTTCTCACATCTGTCTCACTGAGCACCAGAAGGCTCTTCTTCCCAACTACACTTTATTTTCACCATCCAGACTTCCACTGCTCACCCCCAGCACCAACGATAATTCTGGGTTTCCCTGGTTCACAGCCACAGCTTCTAACACAGCCTCCCTCTTTCTTATTTCCTGGCTCGTGGCCAGCTTGTAGCCTGAGAAAAGTGGAAGCTCTAGCTGGAGAAGCAGGTCATTCTGACAAAGGGAAACTGCGAGACGGGGAAAGTGAGAGAGGTTAAAGAAAGATAGGTAAGATTTGCTCTAGCATGGATTAGACCCTTCGAAGAATGAAAAATCCACCTCTTGCAGCATAATCCATTAAGAACTAGCAAATTATCAAATATTTTGGTAACTCAGAGTTGTTTTTTGTTGGTTTTGTTTTTTTAAGTCAGTCTCTTAATAGGAAAATAATTAGGGACAAGAAGAAAGATGAACATTAGAAAAGAAACTCCTGTATGGTGGCTACAAATGTTGTTTCTGACAACTTAACTGGAAGAAAGACACACAACAGTTAGCACCACTGGGGGATGGTATTTATAACCCTAGAGGCACCCATGATTCATTAGGTTGCATTTAATCACAGTGAGCTCGAAATCGCTTAAAGGTGCGACTACGAATTTGGATTCAGAATCAGTCATATCTCCTTCCAAAAACCTACGCGTTACTCTGCTGAGGTAAAGTCCAGCACATTAATCAAAATCAGGGGCAAATGTAACTCACAGGGAAAACGAGAATGATCAAATAATTATATATTATATACTAAAAAAAAAAATATTTAAATGATATTCCATTTCTTCAGCACATGGTGTATTGGCTGATCCTAGGAACAACCATTTTGGGTAAGCAGCAACCAAACCAATGCTCCCGGAGTCCTAATGGGCTGCAAAAACTGCTTAAATTATAGGAGCCGAACCCTGGCGATCATTAGCTCTTCACCATTCATGAAAAGCGTCACTGCTTTTTATAAGCTGATCCACAAGCCAAAGTTCTCACAGGGCTCTCCCCCCTCCCCCTTGCAGCAAAGTTGGTAGCCAAGACACTGCAACCTTTCTGAGCGCAATTAAAAGCGCCGTTTTGTTCCTCTGGCGCTGCTCCGCCAAGGGCATTCACCGGCGCTCCCTGCGCCACGACCCACACGTATTTTTGGAGCATCTGGCACGTCGGGGTTTAGGCAATTGTTAGTATTCAGCTCAACCAGAGGCACCCTGAATAAACCCCCTCTGCGTGCGCGCGCCGGCTCCTCTCGGAGCGCTTAGCTGTGGCACCCGCTACCAGGATATCTGATTAAAACATGGCAAGTTCACTTCCCATTAAGCTGCTAGGGAAATAATAAAACCCAGAGCTTTCTTAAGATTGCCAGGGAGTGATCTGACCCCCTCTCCCCGCCCTCCCATCTCAGTTTTTGCATCTGCTGGAACCAAGACCTGACCCAGGCATTTTTTGATCCCTCCAGGACCCATAGAGGAGCAGCAGAGTGTTGCAAGTCAGAGCTGAGGGGCGTTAGGCAGCTGTGTGAGAAAGGCTGCGTGCTGCCTGCCTGTATTATGTCTGACTCAAATATCTACACACTGTGCCTCACTTTACTGAGCAGTTTAAAAAAAATTACAAAAAAAGAAAACTTCTGCTGCTGTACCTCTCAGCTTTCTCTCTCTAAACTGCCCAACATACAATAGTAAACTATTTGGAGTTTAGATTGCAATTAGCTTGGCTCTAGTTTCAGAGAACGACTGTCAGTGCAAGTAGAGTATGATTTAAAAATACATTTGCACTCACAAAAGGCACTGTGTTGTAGGGAGGGATTTTTTTAAGGACTGGGATCAGTTAGCATACAACATGCAAACATCACAGTAGATGAGAGACGGAAAAAAAAAAGGAATATGAACAAGGCTTTCTTAATCCTATGATCTAACTTTAATAAAGATCTTATATAAACTAGTAATTGTTCCATATGCTGCAAAATGACTGCAGTATTACCTTAAATGGAGGAGAATAGCCATCACTTTGCCAGTGTTTGAATAATCTGCCTATTAAAAGGTAGGGGAGGGGTAGAGGTTGGAGCTACTATTTCTCTTTGATTCCCTCTTAACCCTCACTTTCCAGAGGGTGACAAAGACTCTGAAACAGGCTTTGAACAGTCGTTGAAAAATGAATGCAGTCCTAAGTCACCATTAAGCTTTCCATAAAAACAATAGAAATATTATTCTGCCATTGCTCCCAATTTGGGGGTGTTCCCTTCTAAGCCTTTTCCTCAGGACACTGAACACAAGTTAAGAAAAGCCTTACAGAGTAGGTAGGAGGCGCCATAATTTTCATTCAGGGGAGGAAAAAAAAAAAATTATCTCACCTTTGTGAAATGCTCCTGTCTCTTAAACACACATTGGAAATCTGTGGAATCATCTCCACAACTTTCTTGGTTGGCTCGGAAATGCTGCTTTTACAGTCTGAGTAAGTCTCCTTTTGCTGCAATAGCTCCTGTTTGGCATATTCTTTGAGCCTCTTGTACAGCGTGCGCAGGCCCTGTGCAGTGCGAGGAGGGCGATCTACTCCGATGGCATTGTAGTTATCAGCTATGATATCCCAGCATTTGTTTTTTTCCACTATTACAGAATGCTTATTGGTATGTTCTTCGAGAATTTGAACATACGGCTTGACGAGTTTTAGCAAATCGAGCTTTTCAGATAAGGTGAAATTAGAAGATCTGGCCTTCCCGACCATTGTTATCTCTGAATTAAGGAAGCAGCTCCTGAAGCCACCATGCAGTCCCTAGCTCCGCTCAGCTCTTTTTCACAAACAGAAAAAGATCAGGCTTAACTAGGCTAGTCTCATTTAGGCCCACGCCTACAAGGGAGGGTTTATTAAAATTCCTTCAGCTTAAGCTGACGCAGGTTCAGGAAATCTGCTTAAGCCAAGCCTGACCTACATAAGGCTTCAGACTGAAGACGACGAGAAGAAACAAGCAAAATACACTTTTGTGCGGAGAGCCCTGACACACGCAGGATTTAAAAAACATAAAGGTTTAACGATTAGCACATTACCCAGCTAAAAATTACCTAATTTAGCTTGAGTAACGAGCTCTGACACACATCTCCGGCTCTCCCGCACACGTCTCGGACGGAAAGCACGCCAGGGGGCTCGGCAGGCGCCCGGGGCCCGGGGCGGCCGCGGCGGCCTGGGGAGGAGGACGCGGCAGGGAAGGAGGGAGGGAGCGCGGCGGCGGCGGGCAGCATGGCGCGCGCCGCCAGCTCAGCTCCCTCGCGGAGCCCCCGGCCGGGCCGCGCTCGCCTGCTGCCTCGCGGCGTTTGCATAATGCCGCTCCTGCTGTCACTCAGGCGGCGTCTGCCCTAGCTGGTTAGGTTACACTCGGCAGCGCGGAGCAAAGCTGCGCTTCCGCGCCATGGCGCAGCCGCTCGCCGCCGAGGAGGCGTCTTAAAGAGGCCGCCGAGCCGCAGGCCCCGGCGCGAGGCCCGAGCGCCGCCGCTGAGTCCGCCCTGTTGTTGGGGCCGCGGCCCGCGGCCGTGCCCCGCCACAACATGCCCGCCGTCTGGCGCATGTGTCGTCGCCGCGCAGGCCGCGGCGAAACGGCACACGCAGCCTCGCGGGCTGCGCGAAATAAAGGCTACGTTCAGTCGTGACAGATCTACTGGGCGCGTTACGGCGTGTGGATACTGGGATTTTCCTAATATCCACCAGCAAACAAGCTATTTTTATGATAATGCTTCCAGGCATTCCTTCAGGATAAAATCTCATTTTTAGTAACAAGTTGCGCATGTTATGCTCATGCATTTCTAATGTTTGCTCAAAAACATATCACCTTAAGCCAAGTTTTAGCATAAAAATACACAGAAGGTTTTAAATGTCTGTGGTCTAAACTAAATAACACATCTCAGAAACAGAAGAAATTGCTGAGATAAAACAAAACGGTGCCCATGAATATACAAAGCAAAAACCAAGTCTGAAAAATTGTGTGCATCATTAAGGAGCCCAGGGTGAAAACAAACACAGTGGCAATGGCTCCTCAGGCTCAACGTGTTCAGCCTTGAAACCAAGGGAGCCGGGAGGGGGGGAAAAGAAGGGGGGCAGGCAAAAGGTAAATCTAATTATAGTTTGAAGTATCTTAAGGCAATGAAGATCTAGGTATGAACTTGTTTGCTCAAAGGGGGGGAAAAAAAAGGCACAAGCCATATTCAAAACAAGAAATTCGACTAAACAAAGGGAGACTTTTCCTACTAGAATTACCGCTTAGAACAACAGCCCCGTCTTAAACGTCCTATGAAACGGCGCTTGCTCAGGCCGCCTAGCGCATCTCACCACCCTGCTTTGCTGGAAACGCTTTCAACATGAGCCTAAATAAAGCATTTTATAGTCTGAAGTCCATTTCAGTAGAATTTAAGAAACAAAACACTCATGGGGTTAAGAAGCATTTTGTGGAAACCATGACAGTGAATCACCTTGCCCGCCGTATATCTCCCCGCACTTACTCTCGGTAACAGAACACTGTTTTTTGTTTTGTTTTGTTTTTGTCCTGACAATCATTTTTAAACTTGCCATTTTTGATTGTTCTTCAGCAAGTGCAACAGAAAGTTAGAACACGTTTCACATGGCAGTGTTTATGTAGTTGTGAAGTACCCCAACGCTTAACATATTAGTGACCAAAAAAAAAAAGCCAACCTCAGGGTGTATGAAGGTGTATGAGGAAAGGCTCCTCTTTGCTGGCAAAAAGGAGCACAGCCAAAGGGTGACAGGCTGAGGAACGCCACCAACCTCAGGGAATGGAAGAGCCCCCAGCTCCAGCTGCTGCCCCATACGTCCATGGGTGCGTGTGAAGGGTCTGCTCCTTCCCCAGCCCAGCCTGCCTTTGCACACGTAGCCCTATTCAGGTGTTAACCACCAGGGACATTATCTGATCCCGGTGATTGCCTCCCTGATTTCTTGCCCGACTCGGGCATTAACCATCAATAACAGTCCTGATGGCTGCATCCTGACGGAAAAATAAGGCTAATGGTGCATACACCAGCCAAAATCCTCTGAAATGAAAGAAGGACTATAAGTCAATCATCTTATCCCATAAATACGGGGACAGCCCAAGAGCCCATTGAAGTCTCCTTGCATCGCAGCAGGCTGCACACCAGGATCTCCCCTTCAGCAGGGATGCCTCTCAAGGATACTCCTCGGGGTTCAGAGATCCTTGCCAAATCCTAACGGATTCGTGGTGAGTGACTATACCACTCTGTCTTTGGAACTTGTAAACTTTACTGATGTAAAGTTTAAAAAACCTTAGTTGTAAACCACTGACCAGGTCTGGGACTAGGATGGGATCCAGTCCAACCCAGACTCCTCTCAGGAGTTTGGAAAGAAAAGGGGTCCAATCTGAACCCCGTGACTCAACAGGAGGGTGTCCTTGATAATTCTGTCTGGACCTTGAACCCTCATGCAGTAAATAAGTGACCTTGCCGTGGAATCTCATGAAACCATTGTTTATATCAATAAAACCTATTATTGTTTCTTTCTCACAAGTGAAGTGCATTGTGTCACTCACCCCCACCACTGCTTGTTCTGTGACAGCGCAGGATCTCTGGGAACATCCACCCCCAGCAGCCGGAGAGGGACAAGGGCCTCGGGAGCCAAGCACTGGGGTAGCCACAGGTTGGGCTGGGAGAGGCCAGAGGAGTCTGACACGTGGCTACAGGAAAGACCAGGAGGTCCAAGCCAGTTACTGGAGTGACGGTGGGGCAGGGAGTCCCTGTGAGGGCTGTTCGGGGTTTATGTCCTTGTGCATGAGGCACCCAGTAGCCCAGGGGATCCAGGGGGCAGCTCCTAGATAGAGGAGTGTCCAAGGCCAGTCACTGGAGGGACCACGGCCTGTGTTTCCCATGAACGAGCCTTCATCCTGGTCACCCATGGGAGGAAAGGATGAGGCTGTCTGTGTTTGCATGAATGCCATGGTGCCGGTGCTGATCTATTGGGCGAACCACATGGGTATGTATATATGTGCTGTGTGTGTGCATGTGTGCCTAGTGGGAATATATTCTCATCCCTGCTGCAGGCAAGACCTGGCAACATGAACCTGTGGCCAGCTTGACTGCATTGGGCCACCCAGTGCAGCAATAGACCTAATACAGACCTATCTGATGTTGTGTTATTTTATCACCTTACTATTTAACCTTGCTAGAGAGACCATGTTTCCACACTAATGCAATTTTAGCAATATACCACTCCAATGATTTTTTCTGAGCAAGTGCCTGAAGGAAGCAGAGTCTGAATTACATATTGTTCAAGTAGGACTGTGAAATAACCCTTGTAAAAATGGAGCTGGCTGCCAACCAAGATCTTTCTATTATTATTATTGTTGTTGTTGTTGTTCCTTATTAAAAAAAGTAAAAAAAAACACTGCTCATCAGCCTAAGGTCATGTTAGTACTTGGATGAGAACCCACAGAAGGTGAAAAGCCTGGATACTAGTGAACACTTAGACTTCTTCCAGCCAAAACAATAGGTGTAATTCCAAAAAACCTACAAAACTAAACCAAAGCCACAAACCCAAACTGTTGCCACAGTCCATCCTCTACCCCATACCTTCCACCAACACTAGCATTTATGCAACTCTGAACAGCCAGTTCAGGAGGATGATCCAGCTAAAAACAAATCAACTTTTTTGGCAGGTATGCAGTTTCATGTTTCATTTAAGTCAAGGTAACTCTGAGACACTGCCAAACCAGGCAGTCCTGTCCTACCCCCCACCCCTGACATTTTCCTGCTCCTTTCACTGTGCTGATTTTAGCACTTAAAAAGTTTCTGAGCAAGTTAGACCAGGCAACTGATTTGTCTGCACATTAAGCATTTTTGTAAGCCAGGTTCATTTTAAGCAACATCAATGCCCTGATTCAGCGAGCCATAGGACAAAGGACCAGCCAAAGAAACACATGCATCCTCCAAAGAAGCTTCTTCAGTCCGGATGATTTTAGGGATACACTCTGTAATACAGCCCAACACACACCTGTACTGCCATGCCTGAGGGGACAGCAGCCCAGAGCTGGTGGGGAAGAAATTCTCATCCCTGCTGAAGGTAATATACACACACACTCTTACATATGACTTCACTGTGCCTTCTATAGCTCCTTCTTTAATCCTATGAACAAGGCACAGCTCATTTTCCTTCGTATCTTCAGAGTGGAATTCACTAATCTACTCAGAGTTCTGTGCTTAATAAAGTAAAAGGACAGCCTTATATTCAGCAGTAAACTTACGGGGATTTGCTTCAATTTTCTTTTAATGATACCAGATGCTTCCCAATTTAAATGTTAACATTTAAAAACCCAGCTTTCAAGTGGATTAAGTCTTCATACTTCAGAGTTCAGAACAAAACAGGAGCTATAAGAATAGTTCCAAACATTTGTCTGCAGAAGAGAAAAATCAGCAGTTATTCAAAAGCAAGAGTCCCTTAATAGGGTTCCAGAACTTAAACAGTTGGGAAATAAGGCTCAGAAGTACCAGGAATGGTTAAATTCAGGTTTTTATTGTGAAAAGCAGTCTAGAACTATTACCAAGAAAAGGATTCAACTAGTGCTTCCTGGAGAGCTATCAAGAGAAGAATGAGTAACAGAGAATATAGTCAAGGTTTAAAGCAGACAAGTGACTATAAAAGCACCTTATTTATTTATTTATTTATTAACGCTCCAAGTGACAGGTTTGAACCATGGCCAAGAATTACCTCAAGCTATCCCTATAAATTTTGTCTCATACAGGACAGAACACCTTATAAGGGAGAATTTCTTTTATGAGGGAATATCTTTGGAAAAGAGGGAGGGGAAAATCCTTTATCACACAGAACTGAAAAAGAGTCTCTTCATATCAGCCGGGAAAAAAAAGAAAAGAGAGAAAGAAATGAGCTGTAAGGTACCTGATCAGAAAACATTTATTTGTGGAGAATTATGTGTGTGTGTGTGTGTATATATATATATATGAGAGAGAATATATATTTGTGAGAGAATCTCCTCCAAAAATACTAATACAGTCAGAAAGGGAAATCCCACATATTGC